TTACCTCTTCTGAAATAGTGATGCCTCCTTTTGCCTACTGGTTCTTTGCACACAAAGAGCTGAGAGTATTTACGCATCAACCTGAAGTCCTTGTAGGGGATGCTGATGTAACAGTGGTGGGTGCCATGGGCTTGTTTATGCCGGCTGTTGCTGAATGTACCACTTCCATCTTAAAATGGATGTTTTCTAAACCCACTTAATTCATGATTTGATGGTTTTGACAGGTTCTACCTCATAATGGGTAGTTCTGGTGGAGTAGTCATTTAGTGTCCCATGGGCATGCATTCTGTTTTTGCCAGGATGCAATAGTATGCAAGGAGATGTTTCACAAAAGCATCTAATTGTCCACTGCAGATGGCCCAGCCTTGCTCCAAAACTCCAGGAGCCTATGGTGTTCTCCTATTGGGGCTTGCCACAAACTCCACATGGCATCTCTGCCCACCACTGGCACCACCGATACCAAGGGTTAAATAGACATCAGCTGAGTATGTATGTGGCGGTCTATTTCTGGACTCTCTGTTCCATTTATCTATTGATTTACTTTCATGCCAATATTACCTTGCATTGATTCCTGTAAACCAACAGTAAGTTTTGAAGTCAGGTAAAGAAAGTAAGCTCTCCTACTTTGTTTTTCTTTTCTTTTTTTAAAGTTTATTTATTTATTTTGAGAGAGAGTAGGGAGGGGCAGTGGGGGGAGAGAGAATCCCAAGCAGGCTCCATGCTGTCAGCACAGAGGCTAATGTGGGTCTTGAACTCATGAACTACGAGAGCATGACCTGAGCCAATATCAAGAGTCAGACGCTTTAGCAACTGAGCCACACAGGAGTCCCTGTTTTTCTTTTTTCAAGTTGTTTTGGCACATATTCAATTTGAGAGTATTGCTAGATTGTCTGCCACCCATCTATGTATATGGGTGAATAATTCCATACTTGATTTTTTTCATATTGGATACTATCAACTTAAAATTGTATCAGTATGGGGTGCCTGGGTGGCTCAGTCGGTTGAGTGTCTGACTTTAGCTCAGGTCATGATCTCACAGTTCGTGAGTTCCAGCCCCGCATCAGGCTGTGTGCTGACAGCTCGGGGCCTGGAACCTGCTTCCAATTCTGTGTCTCCCTCTCTCTCTGTCCCTCTCCTCCTCACGCTCTGTCTCTTTCTCTCAAAAATAAATAAACGTTAAAAAAAATTAAAAAAAATTCTTATCAATATGAAAAAGTTCATTGTTTAATTTACATATCTTTAATTATTATTGAGGTACCAGCCTGTTTTTCTATTGGGTTTTTGATCTGTGTCTTTATAGTTGTCTGAAGACATATGTGTCTCAGGAAATAATTCAGTCCTTGACCTGCTTAAATTATTTTGTATATTAAAAATACCAGCTTGTAACCTGATTCATCATCTTTTTCTCCTTTAATATACAAGCTTCTTGAAAATTGGTATTACCTTGGTGTTTCTACTTCCTCAGTCCACATTTATATTTCAGTAGAATTCCGTAGGGCTCTGTCTTCATCATTACTGTGAAACAATTTCTAAAAAGGCCATCTTACTCTTATCTAATCCAAGGGACATTTTTTTTCCCTATCGTAGTGGATTTTTGGTTGCATCTGATATTTAATGCTTCCCTCTACTTGAAATATTTTGCCGTTAGTTCCTCTGACACCATTCCCCCTTGATCTTCTCTCTCCCTCTCTCCTCCGTTCGCATCATCAAGCCCTCTTTCTCTTATCCCTCACCAGTTGGAATTTTCCAGGGCTCCATCCTTGGTGTCTTGTTTTTTTCCATTGTATGTGCTTTCCCTCATTGATTGCATATCCTTTCTAGAATAATCTATAAGAACCACCAGTTTTGGATGTATTTTTATTGTATTTGATTGACTGAAGGCAGTATTTGGCTTATAAATTCGTATCAAAGTAAGTAGCTATCACACATCTGCACACGTCTGCTGCACAGATGATTCTACACGTTTTTTTCCTCACGTGCATAATGCCATTTCTATGGATTGTCTAGCCCATGTCTCCTCTCACCTTATAAGCCACCTGAGAGTAGAGTGGAATACTAAACAGAACTCGCCCCCTCCCCTATCCCCCCACACACATACAGCATGAATAACTTGGAGTATTTGGGCAGTAAGAATTATTTTTATTGTTTAAGCAAGATGAAATGTCATAAGCTAATGAGAGTAACATAAAAATTCACAAGAAAGTATTCTTAATGTATAGGTGTATGACTATAAAGCAAGAAAGTACACTTATTTGGCTTATGAAATAAAATAAAACATCTTTCATGATTTTATCTATCTATTCTGCTCTGTCTTGTGTATCTCTGTTCCTATCTCTAGGGTGATCACACATCACAGATTGTTCAGGAGAGGCTTTGTGTCCCATGTCCAGATATAGTGATTAATTGCACCTCTTTTCACTGTCAAAGCTGTCCTGGTTTGGATGACAAGTTATATTGATAATTATATTAATTATATTTGCCTCTTTACCAAAAGAAATTAATTGATATTCAAAAGACATTCATTAAAGTGTAGTGTAGCATAGTTGGTTAGGAGCATAAGCTCTCAGTCAGACTTTGGGAGTTTACATCATGGCTGCACCACTAACAAGCTGTGTCACCTTTTGGTGCCTGAAGTTCCTTCTCTGTATAAGGGGATAATAATGGTTTCTCCCTCAGCATTAAATTGGATCAGGGGTCAGCAAACTTTTTTCTGTGAAGGAATAAACAGTAAATATTTTAGACTTGGTGGGCCATATGGTTCTCGTCACAACTACTCAACAGTGTCATTATAGCACAAAAGCAACCATAGACAATATCTAAATGAATGAGCATTACTGTGTTCCAATAAAACTTTATCAAAACAGACAGCAGGCCAGATTTGCCTAAGTGTTGTAGATTGCAGACCCCTGCGTTATTTAAACATGTAAAAAACTATTAATTTAGGACCTCACAAGGCACGAGACTCCCCTGATTTTTGGCATGGAATCTCCCCCCAAAATAGGAGTGTGTGGGTATTTCTAACATAGGGAGCCATCTGAGCAAAGATGTAGAGGTGGGATCACTTTGCTCTCAGGTATGTGAGAAGTGGTATATATCTGCTGTTCTGTTGACACTTTCCTTCTTAATCTTGTTTTCCTGACAAACTCCATCCCACACCCCCACCACCACTACCACTCCAGTCCCTGACCAAGTTATTTACCTCTCACTGTGCCCTACAGCACCAGTCATGCCTCTATCAGGTCACTAGTCACACTACATTGTCACTATCAGATTCTGAGCTCGTTCCTTGCATTACCAAGCAAGACAATAACGAATTGTGTGAGTGAAGGAATGAATGAGCTTTACATTATGGTGGGACTCAATAGACATAAATATGTTTTTAACAAAAAAGGGAAAACTAGGCTGATACTGACACAGGCTTGCCCTGAGTAGCTGTCAGACCAAAGGGGAGAAAAGACAAACACTGGAAATCCCCGTTCTTGGCAATGATGACTGTCATAGTAGAAGGCATATGCAGCTGTGCCCATGAAAAGGCACAGATGCCAGGGGACTCTGGGAAAAAACTTAAAACAGGATATTGGCTCCCAGTTTTGAAGCATGAATAGAAGTTTTCCTGACATATGGTTGGGAAGGACATTCCAGAAACATCATGGCCACTGTATATGACTTTAAAGAGCTGAGTGAACCCCAAGAATTAATCCATGGTGTCTTTAGGCATTAGTTAGGGCTGGATATTCTGTAGTGATGTTCAAAGACAGACTAAGACATACTAAAATTTTTAAGTTTATTTGAGCAAAAACTCTCTAATTGGGCAGCACCAAACCACAAGGGGTAAGAAGTGCTCCACTGACAAGAGCTAGAGGCAAGACTTTTATAGAGAAGTTGCAGAAGCAAAGCAAGGAAATTATTTGATTGCCTATAGTTTAAACAGTTGTCTTATTTGGGAAAGCCTCATTTGTGATTGGTTGGCCTTAGGTTTTGATTTCGTAACCTTGAGGCATTTACAGGCTTAGGTTTTGGTTTGCTTGGGAGGGTTGCTAAGGCATTCGAACCACCTAAGTCTAATAGTCTCCTTGTTTAATTATTTAACAGTAATAACACTATTACATGGTATTTATTATTTTTTAAAAACTGCGCAGATTCTGAAGTGCTTTCAGCAAACATTGAAACACCCAAATGAATATTTCACAACCTTCCTCTTCTTGACAAATGAGAGAACTGAGGGAAAGCAGCTGGCCCAAAGCCACAGAGCAAGTTCAAGACCAGGTTGAGAGGAGGTTTCAGGGGTTTTGGATTATCCTTCAGAGTTTATCCTCAAACACTTCTCCTCTGCTGCCATCTGAGGTGTCTTTAGCAGTGGCTGAGTTTTCCCATCCCAATCTGGGACAGCATTCCCAGGAGGGGAACATTTGAATTCCATTTTCCAGGATGACTGGCTGGAGGTCACCAGATGAAAGCATTCTGACTTTCCCTCTCCCAGTGCTCTGTCTCAGGGAGAATACTGCTCCATCCTGACTTTTCCACCCCAATTGAAACCTAAATTAAATAACCTACCTCAGTAAGCATATTTTATCATTATTATACCTAATATTGGGGAAGTGAGGCAATGTGTTGTAGATCAACTGACTCTGGCTGAGCCTCACGCTCCTCTTTGGCTTAATAACGGGAGCGGCTTCTCCTATTCCCCACCCCACTTCCACATCTTTATTTGCACCTTGCACCGCGTGTCTCTTTTCTACACATCTTAGCGGGAGCGGTTCCCTGACTCTATCCTCAGAAACCTGGGATTCTTTGTTGCTCCCGCATTGTCCCAGTACATCTTTTCTGTAGCTCCCGTATTCCACTTCTACCTTGCCTTGCTCTCAGGATTCTCTGCTGTACGGCACTAACACCTACTCGAAATATGGCGCCTCCCATTCCGTCACACTCTCCGCTCACTAGGCGCAGCCATATTAATCTTCCTGGCTCAGCCCGACTAAACACCTGGAAAGTCTCGCGATAGAAGCAGGTCGAGGGCTGCGCCTGCTTCCGCCGTTAACACCGGAGAGTCCGCATCCCTCACGGTGGGAGGGGGTGGCCTTGTCGCTCAGCTGAGGTCCCCGCAGGAGAGGCTGGGAGTTGAGGGGTCCGGTTCACAGAAAACGAGGTTTCAGTCACTGGCTGCGGTATTGGGAGTAAGGGCATCATGTTTGATCAGCGATTGAGCATCTCTAGCGGTCCGTAATTTTCGGTCTTTGGTTAGTAATTTAGCGGGCCTGCCCCAAATCACGATTGCCGCCCGGTATAGGTTGGTATTTAGTGATGCTGCTGGTAGTAGTGGACTCTGAGGAGGGTCAGCGACTGATTGGGAATTTGTGGGACTAGTGATGGAGCGTGTCTTTGTGATTCTGAGTCCCTCGGGTTGGGGTCACATAGAAATCAATGATTGGGCCCTGAAGACAGATATCCGTCTTTAGGGTTATGTTAGGTCAATGTATGTGGGGCTGTATTGGGCAGCTGTTAGGAGCCTGTGTGATAGCTTAGGGAGCAGATGGTTTGCGACTAGTGATTGGGGCTCCAGCCCTGAATTCTAACGGTTTGCATTCAGGCTGCATTCCACACGCGTATTGTGCTGGGTTTTCTTGAATGGGTTTATGCCTGTAAGGATGTGAGGGTCAGGGAGAGTTCCCCTCCTTCCCCCAAAGGTTTTGTTTCCACTCTTGGATCTATCTGGTCAATAGACTTGAGGCAGTTTATATTCTCTGCTACTGTCTGGTAGCTAGCTAAGTACTTCAAGCCAAAGTCTCTCAAAAACCCTCTCTCAAAGCTCCTTTGCTTTCTCCCTGTCTTCTTTCAATGCATGTGCTCTCTCTGGACAGTTTCAACCACACTCATTGCATCACCTTCCACCTTGAAAGCCATGACTTGCCAATCTATAGCACCAGCCTAGACATTTCTAATAAGCTCCAGATTCACAGTAGCCAGCTGTCTCCTACACATCTCTGTGGGGTTCACTCACAGAACCTCAATCTTAACATGATAGAATATATCTTCTTAGTTCTCCATAGTTCACCTGCTCATCCTACTATGTTCATCATCATGAAGAGTCACTCTTACTTCAGATGGCCATAGTAAAAATCCTGTAGACATCTAGTTTTCTCCCCAGCCTTCTTCTCCCCATGTCCAATCAATCTTCTGATCATGGTGATTTAGCCTCCCTGACATCTCTCCAGTTTGTCCTCCCCATTCCCACTGCTGTGGTCCTAGTTCAGACTGCATCTTCCCTTGCCCTAAATTTGTGTCAGGAAGCCCTTGTAGCAGAGTGTTGCAAACTAAGGGAAAGTCAGAGGAAGGAATAGCTGATTCTATCCAGGAAAGGCTTTCTAGAGGAGGTGACATTTGAACTGAGCCTATACATTTGAAGTGGTCCTATAAGTCTATTGATGACAGTGACTGTTACAGCTTATTCAATGTATCAAGCTAGTGAATTGTGCCCTTTAGGACTTCATTGATAAGAGTTTGGGTTAAGAGGTCAGTAGGACAATAGCTGCTAAAAATAACAATCTTTTTTTTTTAATTTAAAAAGTAGCCGTTTATTTTAGAAAAACTGGAAAATGAAAATGCTAAATACAAGTCAATAGAAATCACTTTTAATCCTACCACCAAAGGTAACCATAACATTTTGATGTATGTCCTTTCAGACATATTTTTGTTCCTTTCAAATATATTTCTTTTCAGTATATATATTGTTTTATAACCTATTTTTCTTCCTTTGTAATACAACAAGAACATTTTTCCAAGTCTGTAAATTCTTCTCTAAGATACTTTAATGATTGTCTAGTATTCTGTCCTTCCATAACTGATTTAACCAGTCCCTATTGTTGAACATCTAGGTAGTGATAAAGCAGCATTGTGATGAATATCCTTGCATATATATCTTTATGTGTGTCCTTGCTTTTTTTTTTTTTTTTTTAGGATAAATATCTAATTATAGATTTATGGGGCCAAAGGAGGAGGAGAAACTTTTTAAATGTATAAAGGAATACACATTCACAAAGGTAAAACATACCATGACCTGACCTTTTCAGAACTGTAAGTTAATAAGTTGATGTTATCACAGCATAATCTTTTGTGGTCTCTCTGAAAGACACTTTTGAAAGGGGCAGGAATTCACAGGGCAGGCCCAGACTCTTAAGGTGGTCTTCTTTTTATCCCCTCCCTGCTCATCCCAGCTCTGTCTTTACAGATATCTGTGCCTTCTGAAGAGCAACAGAAAATGACCAAGTCTCAGGTAAGTGAGTTATTTATACCCCATTTTGTTTTCCATTGTATTTGAGGCAGTTTAAAAGAATTAATTCAATTACATGAAAAAAATGTAAATAGAAATCAGGGAAAATAAAACAGAAGGTCTAGACCAAGGAAATGCGAAATATAGTGATACAAGTTCATAGTTTTTCATAGTTCATTAAAGTTGAGCATATCATCTGCAAAGATATGATTTACATTACACATTATGATATTTTCTTGAGGGAATGAAAGCATTTTTGTCATTTAGGTTTAAAGTTATTCTCTTGATGGGTCTGCATACATATGATATAGTAGGCAGTATCCTTAACACTTAACCAACCCTTGATAAATTCTGTAGGAGGCTTCTCCATAGCTATTTCTTAAACCGTCGCTCAAAATAACAATAGGGCGTAATAACAATGCATAATCCAATTTGAAGGCAGTAAAATCATGGGGCCCAAGTACATAGCTGCCAAAAAATTTACCTTGATCCACAAATTAAAGGTTGTAAAATTGGTCCAAGGAATTAACATTATTAAAGATCATAATAGTATCAATTTTAATTTGCAGTTTTTAACCAATAAATAATCAAATATTTTTCCTTTAAAATGCAATAGGTTGAGACCCTCAAAGTGTGTATCAAGTGAGTATGCCTCGTGGATAGTGGAAATCAAGTGAATTTGCTCGTTTCTGTTGGTTTATTGCTCAGCTAAACACTGCTAGCAAACATCTTAATGGTTATGATTGTCATATGGTTTTAAATGTTTTTATTTGAAGGCATATATTATTGAATTTTTATCTATAATGTTCCATTGGTTATACCCACCATGTAGCACACAGTTGGAGTGAGTATAGTCGTCTTCAAAGTGGGGAGCATCCATTCCTAGAAGATGGGCAAGATGATGCACTGGGGTATGGGGAGAAAAGAGAATTACGTACATATATTCTTAATGTCATAATATCTCAGTGTTGAAGTGTTTGTATATAATTTATGGGTTTTTTTTTTGAAAAAGGTATGTATTATTGATGTACGTGCTTGTTTTTTAACTGAAAAATATCAAGAGTCACCTCATTAGAACAAAAGACACTCCTATCACCCAAGAAATTCCGAAGATTTTAGGAGCCCTGTGTCAAGAACCAGAGTCAAAGACCAAATACTAGAACAAAAGATGCTTATCACACCTTTATTGCTTAGGAAATTACAAAAGTTTTAGGAATTCTGACTAGGAGCCAGGGATGAAGACCAAAATATATATATTTCTTATTGTATCACAGTATCCAAAAGCCTGGGGACTACTGGGTTATGTACCTGTACTTCTGCACCCAATTCTAATGTGTGGGGGTTCTTTCCTATACCACCGAGCAATCTTCTGACACCAGCTGGCTGTCCTACAATTCAGCTCAATTTTGACACTACCTGATGAAGTTTGGGGGTGATGGTGGGGTGGTCTGGAGCCAACGGCCAAGAAAGAATTCTGGAAGATGTCTTTGGTGTAAAAAGGTGATCTTATCAAAGCATGGGAACAGGGCCTGTGGGTAGAAAGAGCTGCACTGGGGTCATGAGGGGTAACTCATTATATGCCCTCAGGTTGGGAGAGGATCAGGGTAGAGTAAGTCTCTAAGGAATTTTGGAAGCAAGGTTCCAGACCTTGAGGGGCTAGCTGTTGCTAGGGAAGTGCCATTTATTACTGTTTAATAAAACCACAGTCATGAGAACCTTCTGATATATATCAGGGGGCCATAAGCTTGGAGTATGATTGCCAGCATATATCTTGGGGCAGTTGAGATAAAGGAAGTAGACTTACAGGATCCTCAAGGTTGGGATAATGTTAAGCTAATGTTCTCTTTTGCCCCCAGCAAAGGGTCATCCTTGAGGCAGCTGAGCTTCTAGAGGGAGGTCACTCTGCTAATCTCAAGGACTTGTCAGTGGGCTATAGGCAGTAAGGGAATTTTTCATTTGCCTTAGTTTCCCACGTTACCATGGCAAGCACTTAAACCCCTTTCCTTTGTTCTTGGGTAGCTAGCAGTGTCCAAGAATATCACACATATTTCACTGGGTGGGAGGGATGGTGTGCCAGCCTGTATTTTGCCCCCAGCTTGCTGCATGCTCCCTCATCACTACCCACCTAGAGGTAGTATCAGATACTATAGGTCAAGGGCTCCCACAAGACTGCCCTTCACTTCAGATTCTGATTGGTAGAGAAAAATCTGTTACAAGATGGCCGACAGGACTGATAGAAAAATTCCAGTCCCCGACCAAAGACTCCCCTTCCAGGTTCTTCTTCCTACTCTGCTTGCCGCACACATGCACCAGATTAGTACTAATGCGGAATGTGGAAGTAACAGACTATAAATTGTTCCCCCCTGTTCACTCAGGGCTCAGACCTCTGGAGAGTGATCTCCTGTAGCGTGTTGGTGTGAAATAAACCTCCTGCCTTCCAAGATCTCTGAGTGCCATTTGGTTCTTCTGCTGGGTGATCCAGACCAGGTTCCATTACACGGTCACTAGTCTTAAGTTGTTACCTCTGCTTCTGACTGACTAGCTATAATCAGAGGTTCCCACAACTTCCTCCTTTGGTTTTATTAATTTGCTAGAGTGGCTCATAATGAGGACTCAGAAAACCAATTTACCCACTAGATTGCCAGTTTATTACAAAGGATATTAAAGGATACAAATCAACAGTCAGATGAAAACATATAAGACAGAGTCCTGAACAAAGGAGAATGGAGTTCAAGTCCTGGCACCTGGCACATGGCATGTGGAAGCATTCTGGTTCATGAACTTGGAGGTTCTCTGAATTCTCTCCACTTGGGTCTTTGTGGAGGCTTTATTACGTGGGCATGATTGATTAAATCATTGGCCATTGGTGATCCATTGAACCTCCCAACTCCACCTCCCTCTCCAAAACTCAGGAGTAGGACTGGAAGTTTCAATTCTCTATTCTTGGTTGGCTCCCCTGGTGACCAGCCACCCTCTCCTTAGGTGCCCCCACATCGTGTCCGTCCCCCCCCCCCCACAAGCCATCTCATTAACATAATAAGAGAACTTTATCGCTTTCAACACAGGAAATTCCAAGGGTTTTAATTTTTTTTATGTTTATTTTTGAGAGAGAGGGAGACACAGAATCCAAAGAAGGCTCCAGGCTCTGAGCTGTCAGCACAGAGCCTGACTCGGGCTCGAACCCACGAACCATGAGACCATGGTTAGCCGAAGTCGGATGCTTAACCACCGACGTAGCCACCCAGGCACCCCTCCAAGGGTTTTAGGAGCTCTATGCTAGGAACTACAAAGACCAAATGTAAATTTCTTATTATAAATCACATTATCACAGTACTTTTGGTATTGTAACCGAACTAACATGAGTTTGCTCCTTGGTGAGTCAGAGATAGAAACTACACCAGGTAGAGTTATTGCACAAAGGAAACTTTTATTTGCAGTAAATAAGGAGATCCCAGGGAATAACTTCCAAAGCTGTGACACCCTGAGCAGGGGTGTGTGGGCTCTTTTTATTTAGGGTTTAGGATGAATATTCAGAAAGTGGAGCTTTGCCATTGCATGTAAAGGCAGGCAGAAGTTTGTAGAGGTGTACTTAGAAAACATGCCTATGCATGCATCATATGTTAACCTTGAGGAAGCTTGTGTCTTCTTTTAGGGCAGACACTTTAACATTATAGGGTAAGGGGCTGTGGGCAAGCTCTGAGAGCCAGTAAAAACTGGATGGGGTCTTGGGTTCCTTACCTTGGGTAAGAAATTCAGGGCCTTGCTTACTTTTGAAACAGCACTGGGAGTTTTACCATTGATTTACGGTTAGACTGTTTCCTAGCCTGGTAGAGACTGTTAGTTTTCTGCATTCCCTTTGTTCCCTTAAAATCCTTAACTACTGAGGTTTTTGCATTTAATTCTAACCTTAGGAAGCTCTGCAAGAAATGTGCACAGGCAAGTAGAACCCAGAGGGCGTAGATCGAGGGAAAACAGTTGGGGGCCTAAAATGACTTCTCACAGAAGCTCTGTCTTGTCTTTTTCTGGGGACCTTTAACTCCTGCTTCCAGTACCAGCGTATCTCCTCATTTCCAGACATCGTTTTCCTCTATCCCATCTCAACCAACTTCCATAGTCCTATTCTAGATATATAATCACCAATAACTGTACCTCCAAGCATTTCATCCTGGCCATTATTTCTGTTTCTGGTTTGTTTATGGTAGTACCTTGACTCCAGTAATTCTCCACTTCCATCCAAAGCTCCGATCCATTGATCCTCCACTTTTTCAGTGTCCTTTACACCCCACTCCCTACTTCTTACTTCTCGCTTTTCTCAGCTTGAATTCCATGCCTCATGGTTTTTATCTGAGCCACCGTCATCCCACTGAAATCTAATTGCCTAGTCATTATTGCCACTTGGCCAGATCTACAAGATCTATCTCAAAGTTAATTTGGACCAATAGAATTTTTATGGTAAAATCCATATAACATAAAATTTTCCATTTTAATCATTTTTAAGTGTGCAATTCAGTAGTATTAATTATGTTCACAATGTGTGAATCCATCACCACTATTTCCAAAACTTTTTCGTCACTCCAAACAGAAACTCTGTACCCATTGAGCGATAACTCACTTTTCTACCTTACCCCCACAGCCCTCGGTCACCTCAAAACTACTTCTGGCTCTGTGAGTTTGCTTATTCTAGATATTTCATATAATTGGAGAGGGGGGAGACACAGAATCTGAAGCAGGCTCCAGGCTCTGAGCTGTCAGCACAGAGCCTGACATGAGGCTCCAACTCACGAGCCATGAGATCATGACCTGAGCCAAAGTCGGGTGCTTAGCTGACTGAGCCACCCAGGCACCCCTGTTCTCTAGAGCATTTTAAAGCAAATCCCATGTATGGCATTTCATCAGTATATACTTGTTTTACAGATTTTTGTTGTCTTCATTTTATGAACTGATACTGGTTTTCCCTATAGTGGTTTCCTTTTAAAATCGTGAATTTAAGTCAAAAAGTTGAATTGAAACTCTTAAGTCAAGTAATAGTGCAAGTGACATGCAGATATGTAAAAATTGTGAAAGCCGCATATGAATAAATGATTTCTGAGAGCATTATTCTGAAGTACTTAAAATTCCTTGAGTTTGCCATGTTCTTTTTCATGTCGCCATAGCTTTTTTCATACTCCTTTCTCCATCTAGAATGATCTTTCTTCCTCTTCCATATCTTACTGGAGTTTACGCCGTTCATTTTTTACATTTCAAAAAAGTTATTTTATCTTTACTTTTTTAAAATTATTTTTACATTTTTCATTATTCATTTTGCCTAACTACATCTTCTACAAAGCCCAACTCAACCTCCCAAAATAGAATCATTCTTTCTTTCCTATTTGTATTATAACTTATTTAACACCCTGTAGCTTTTATATATTTACTTGTTTGCCTCCATCTACTAGTCTGTAAACTTCCTGTCTTTTGTTCATACTAGTATTCTGAGCACCAAATAATGCTGGCTGTGTGGTTGCCTAATAAGTGCTTATTGATGGAAAGAGAGGATGAATGATTCTCCATAGCAAAGGTTTCCTAATAGGTGTTCTGCTTCTCCCACATAGTAAAACTGGCCTCATAGTATAAACATCTTTAATTTCTTAAGATGGACTCTGCATGATTAAAACAGCAGTGACTCCTGGTACATGCTTTACACATCACCTAGCTTTTTTCACTTTAGATTGAACAGGAACGTCCTGTACAGAGATTTGTGTCATTCAAGGATGTGACTGTGGACTTCACTTGGGAGGAGTGGCAGCAGCTGGATTCTGCTCAAAGAAACCTGTACAGGGATGTGATGCTGGAGAACTATAGCAACCTTGTCTCAGTGGGTAAGTGTCATAGACTCTGAGTCTAAAGTTCTTTCTTGGCCAGCAAGAAAGCAGAGACAGGATTAAAATATGAGAGATGGCTAATGTCTGGGAAAAGACAAGAGCCCCAAATAAGGGACCTTGCTCCATATGTATTAAGATCAGAAGGCTTACAAATGTGATGGGCATGCGTGAAGAGACAATGAATCTGTGAACATTAACTCATGGGCATGAGGGAAAGGGGGTTTTGAAGATATACGGTGTTTGGGGGTTTGGCTCAATATAAAACAAAATCCTGGCACCGGGCAGATGGGCAGATGGTTGTTAACAGCAGACAGGAGGCGCTGTGTCTGTTTATCCTAGCTAGCCCAGGGGATAAGACAGATAGAGCACCTCAGGGTTAACAAGGCACCTTTCTTTTGTTAATCAGCTCCCTTCTGGGCAGCATCACCTGCAGCACAGCAGTCTATAGCCCTATTTACCTGTTTACCTAATTTGGTCCTTCCTGTGAAGGCAGCTTTCTGCCATAGTACTAAATTGGGGGTGCTTTTTCCCTGAATACCTAATCTTGCTTACCTCATATACCTTTGTATAGGGGGTTTTTGCCCCCCTTTCTATTCTGGAGGCATTTGCCGCCCCCCCCCCGCCCCGTTTTATTCTGGGGGCCTAATCTTGTTTACCCAAGCTTGGGTGTGAGCATCCCATGGCTTTGTAATTCTTTATGCCTTGTTAGCTCCATCAGTACAGGCTCGGGGAATTTCTAAGCTTATCCCTCACATCACTCAGAGGGTACTAGGAACTAATTACCTATTGCTATGTAACAATCACTTCAAAATTTAGTAGCTTAAAACAAACAATCTTTACTAACAATTTCTGTAGGTCAGGAATTTGGAAGGGCTTAGCTGGGTGGTTCTGTCATGTGGTCCCCTATGGTTGTAATCAGATATTAGCAGGGACTGCAGTCATCTGCAGTGTCTTGACTGACAGAGTAGGATCCATTTCTTTTCTTTACTTTTTTTTTTAAGAAGTTGCAATTTATTTATTTTTAATTAAAAAAAGTGTTTATGTTTATTTATTTATTTATTTAAATATGAAATTTATTGTCAAATTGGTTTCCATATAACACCCAGTGCTCATCCCAACAGGTGCCCTCCTCAATGCCCATCACCCACCCTCCCTCCCTTCCACCCCCCATCAACTCTCAGTTTGTTCTCAGTTTTCAAGAGTCTCTTATGTTTTGGCTCCCTCCCTCTCTAACCTTTTTTTTTTTTTTTTTTTTTTTTTA